CTTTATCCCTACTTATAAACAAAAAATAACAGAAAGAAAGGCCTCATTGTGAAAACACAAAGAAACAGAAGATTATGTAAGCCATTGACATCTTTGTGGAAAGAAATTTAATGAACACGAGTATAAAAGAAAGTAGAGGTAGCGAGAGCTTTGTCTATTGCCTAAGCACACTCGAAGACAACAAGGACACGACAAGACAAGCAATAAAGAGGCACTTGGAGCAGGGAAAAGAGAAAAAGGGATCGCATAGAAGAAGCTGGTAATGAATTTTCGAAAATCAAGCGAAGACTTCTTCCTCTCCTGCTCGAAGAAACAAATGCAACTTTGGGGGACTGGCGGTCACTGGGCGAGGGAGTTGGATAAGCAAGATCGCTTGAGAATTCGGCATTATAGCTAAATTGAGTGGAAATTCATTCGAAAGGCAGCAGCTTACCAGAGATAGACGTGCACAGTTTGCCCATTGTACACGGGTTTAATCACGGAGATGACTCGTGAACACAATGCCTGATATCTGCAAGCATGTTGATCAGAACCCATGCGCTGTCGGTGAAGCGACAGAATGCACGCTATTTAAAGCTTGACAAATAGTTCCTGTAGTGAAACCTATACACAGAGTTTATCCGAGTGATATCAATTACCTAGAAAGATAAGAAACAGATCTACAGGCCCTTGAGATAGATCAGGATATAAGGCCCAAGTCGGATCACAAAATCGAGAGGAAGAGGAGCAAGTAAGACGGCAAATGTGATGACGCCACTATATAATCATTCAAAAATAGCACACCTTCGGAAGAGTCGAATTTAAACAAGTCAGAAGTTTTGATAAGGCGAGAGGGGCATAAGAAGTTAGGGGGTATGTAGATATGCCAAGACAGCAAGAGCAATGATAGCACAAGCGTTTCAGCATGAAGTTGATTAAGTAATTGACTTAATTTGTCTCTTTGACGAGTTGCAGCTTGGTGCTGAGAATGACAAAAAGCAGTGACGATGCCAGCGAAACGTCTGGAAATGTACCAAGACCACGCCCTAACGCTTAAAGTTGTGAAGAATACTGTAGAGCTTACTTTCATTTCGAGTGAAAGTGTTCGGTGACGAGATTTGAATAATGATCCCACCAGATGACGCCTGCGGATTCGTCTTGACCAGCCTCCGATTGGCTTTACTAGTACAACCTTTTTGACACTATTTCCGAAGTACTCCAATGATTCAAGAAGACTCAACGGCTCATACCTAAAAAGCTGTATATATACTCTCAATATGACCCCTTTGACGAGGTATTAAGTGATTTGGTTAGTTCCAGTCATATGTCAACCTCGGGCAAGCGAGTTTGTCTGTCTCTGGATGTGTATGTATCTGTATGTGTTCGCATATGTACGAAACCAGCTCAATGTAATTAGGACAGCAAAAGTAACGTCTTCTCTTGGCCATCAAGGTTTTGATGACCACTATCTTCCCCTTTTTACATGTATGTTATAACCATCACTGCGATTTCACGAGTTCGGACACACGTTTAGTTATAGTTGCATTTGTTTCTTCGTGGAGGAGAGGAAAGAGAGGTCTTTGCTTGATTTCTGAAAATTCCTTACCTGCTTCTTCCATGCGATCCCCTTTTCTCTGGTCCTTGCTCCAAGTGCCTCTTTATTGCTTGTCTTGTCGTGTCCTCGTTGTCTTCGAGTTTGCTTAGGCAATAGACAAAGTTCTCACTACCTCTGCCTTCTTCCATTCTCCTGTCCATTAAATTTGTTTCCGCAACGATGTCAATGGCTTCCATAATCTTCTGTTTCTTTGTGTTTTCACGATGAGGCCTTTCTTTCTGTTATCTTTTGTTTATAAGAAGGGATAAAGTAGGGGATGGATGAGAACACTTTTTGGTCAAGCAAGGCTATATGAAATTCAATGGAAACGCCAGCTCTACTCATAGCATTGTGGAAAAATTCACCTACCAGTCCTTCATCATCGAATAAAACTTCTTTTTTCTAATTATTTGGCTCATTGATTTAGAGGGTGTTGAGTTGTCCGAAAATAGGAGACGTCTCAACTAGTCTTTCATTATCATCGTCCTAATCACGCTCATTTATCGGGATTTTTAGTTCCTTTTTTATCCCTCATATCAAGACAAAAAAGGCCTATCACCATAACCAGACGTGTCTCCGACTACAGACGAAAGCTAAGCACGTTTTCACTGAAATCGAAAGTAATTACCTCGGAATCATCTGCATAGGCATGGACACTGGTAGATCCGAAATCGTACGGATGTGGCACGAAATTGAGTGAAAAATAACATAAAGGCTGGCTGCATATGAGAAAAATATGAGAAAGCGCAAGATCCTAGATATCATTGATATCATGATTGAAATGTATCTAATAAACATGATACTTTGAAGAAGTTCAAACTTCGCATATTACCTAAGTTAACTCGAAGAATATAAGTGAACAGTGATATCAGCAAAAAGATGACAACAATATCATAAAAATATTTTTAATTTTAGGAAATAAAATCGCTAGGGGGCCAGAGAGTAACAATCCGAATCACAGAGGTGTCTAAGTGAGCCTATTAAAATCAATTATAACTATTACAGAAGTTGTCTGACCTTGTTTTCGCAACTTGGTCATATTGGTAGGGAGACGTAGAGGAACGCATATAGACCGGAGTCCATTATATGCTTCTATACAACGAAAGGAGACCGCGACCACACAAAAGGTCACACCATTTTGGTCTTCATATCTTCGAGTATAACTATTACATTTGGAGATACCACAACAGTTAAGCAAACAATTGGTCAAAGGATTAGCTTCATTTGTCTCTTTGATGAGTTATGGTGTTGTGCAACTTATGGCAAGGTTCATTGGCGATACTGGTAAACGTCTATGAATGTACCAAGTACACGGTCTGAAAATTACCATCCATATTATGGATTTCGGACACGGTGCGTTCCTATAGGTCTTCCTGCCAATATAACCAAGTTGTTAAAACAAGATCAAACAACTGAATTACATTTATTGATGTCGTGAGGCCTTCCATTCATTTGATTATGGGAAATTCATCCATCCCTTCTTGCAAAAATTTATCAAACTTGAGGCAAATTATGTTGTCGTGAAAGGTCTGAGGATGGTTAAGAGACCTACTCGATAGCCAGTTTGCATGTGGAGAAACCTTTACTTCCATCGAAGTACTATTATTCAATCTGATATGACGATACAAGTTACTTCAACCGAATTAAGATTTGCATCAAGCGCACAGCTGCGTTGGAAAGGATGGTATGTGGCATTATGGAGTAATGGTGTGAACATAGAATGGACTTGATTTTATAGTCATCAATCCAGATTTTCCAATACATGGACTTACCATTGCTAGTATTGAAATAAAAAAACTCAGAGAGTTATGATAAATGGTTACAGGATTTCATTGATTACAATGACATCTAAAGTATCATTGATCCAGGCGAAAAGGATACACCGAATAATTGAAAAATAATCATCGAATTTGAACTTTTGTAACAAAAGCTTGATAAACAAAAGTCGTGTGAAATTACGGAAAGTTTTGTCGACAAGAAATTGCATCCCAATTTGAGGATAAAAATGGATTATTTTGCTTTTGCTCTTCCAAAAATTATTGCTGCTAGAATCCGATTGTTTTTATTAGGGAGCGTGTAACCGATTTCGATTGATTTCTGTCACATTTATTTGGTGGACGGCACAAGTATTATACTATTATTTTATTTTTTATTCCATTATTGTACTAATAATCCAATACAAATAATATATCAATACTAATATGATTAAATCCACAATGCATTCGTAGACGATTCAAAGGCAAACGAATGAGCAGTAAGAGCACACGTCAACCTTTACCAATCTACAAAATGGCGTATATTGCTTCATTACGCGAAGGAATAGGATGTGAAGGTAAACAGGGTGGGTTAAGTAAGTAGAAGTGAACCTACGTGATTTGTCCATCAGATTCAGAATGGCCGTTTTACCTTGGTCTCCGTTGCAAAGTCGCGGTAGAGTAGGCCCTGCCGATGTCGACAGAGGGCGAACTGCTGCTGCAGCCGAGAGAGTTGACCCTGAAGGCGTCCGACGAGGTCTTTCTGTTGACCGAACTCGGCCAACACCTGTACCAAGTGCTCCTCGAGTCCGGCTAGCGTCTCTACGGTGCTTGGCGTCAGTCCATCGGGCAGACGAGCCAAGCCACCAAGCGGCTGGCCAAAGCCGGTGTTGTCGGTGCTGTCGCCTGCAGGACCTCCCAATTTCTGAATAGCTACCAGTTGAGAATGCAAATTGTCTACACGTTGCCTAGCGGCGTCCAGTTGAGCCTCAAGACTGGCAGCGTCTAGCCGAGTTTCGCGTAACTCTCGGCGAAGCTCCTCGTTGGCACCCTAAAATAATGTATCGGTTAACAGGAACAGACCAATAGAGGTCAATAGGACAAATTGAAAGTGGCTATTTTAGGTGAGTGGATGAATGGATTGATTATGCCATGCTTAAAATTTTGACTTGAATACTCACTAAAGTAAATCACGATGTACCAAACTATTAGAAATTATATAAACCTTATAAGTTGGGACTACCACATTATGCAACAAATGGTCTAAGTTTTAGACAAAACCAAATAGACTGCTAAGATCATATGAGAAAAGCGTGGAAAAGGTTTCTCTCAAAGATGTGAGTTAAAAGAGGCCGGATTCCCTGCAGAAATCATGCCTGCCTTGTAGTCTAGGAGCAAAATGTCTGATTC